AGTACCTGGTATATAGTAAGTCCTATTTAAAGTTCTTCACATTATTAGAGGATTACTACTCTTGTCTACTACTTTTATTACTATTCTCATCATCATTATTATTCCATAAATCGGGTGAGTTAAGAAAATGTTTTGGTTTGTTAATTCCCTCCCTTTTACTATATCATGTAAATATGTTTTAAGTGGCCAGGTTCAGCCCTGGCCGGGTAGCTCAGTTGGTTGGAGCACCATCCCAATACACCAAGGTTGCAAGTTTGATCTCAGGCAAGGGCACATACAAGAATCAACCAATGAATGCATAAATAAGTGGAACGATGAATCGATGTTTTCTTTCCTCTCTCTTTCTCAAATCAATAAATAAAAATTAAAAAAACAAAAAGGGGGAGTCATTTTACCAACTTAAGTCAGAAAGTTTTTAGGAAAGTTAGAACTAATAGCTGTAAAGACAAGGAAACTGAGGTTTTGATAACTGAAAATACATAATTATCCATTAATTCAAGACTTTAGGGCTTTTAAAATATTCACACTAATCAGTTTATAATTTTACATGATAAGATCAAGATAGCAGAATATTTTCAGCAAAGAATAGCAAATCAGAATTCTCCCAAACATAAATTTCCATGAAAATCTAATAAAAATGAGAGGTGGCATTTATTATCTTTTTTTAAAACAAAAATCTTACCTATTTCCCCTAAATAGATGCTCTACACAGCTCAACACAATTTTCAACAATAATTACAATTTTTATACATAATTCCTTCTGCAGGCAAATAAAACAACATACCCCAAAGCAGTAAAAATAAAATAAAGCAACAGTTATCTGAAAAACCTACCAAGGATTTTTGTTTTGGTAAACATTTATGTTACCATTTAAAACTCAGACTCCTGAGATGGCCCTCGGGATAAAGTGACAGCTTCAGGTTTGATTCCCTCTGGTATTTCAAACAATACTCTACAAGCTAAAGACTGTTTGAGGATAAATGGCTGGCTACAAGCGTGAATGTGCTGAGGCTTTGCCGCGGGCCTATTATCTCACCTAATCATTATTCACAATCCCTCAGAAAAGCCTCAACTAAAATTGTGATTGCTATTTAGAACTAAACTTGTAGATTCATTTTTTAAATTTTTTTCATAATTTCATTTTTTGTCTAATTTATGTACCTTTAGATATCAACTGCAGCAAGTGTTAAAACCTAGCGCAACAGATACAGTAGAGTGTTGCTTTCTTTACTGATTTATTAAAAAGATATTTTTATAACAAAAATGCTTAAGGATGACATGGCACAATACATGTAACTGAATACATAAAGTTCTTAAAGGGAATATGAAAAGGAGTGATAATGGAGAGGAGTTTGGCAAATTCAGAATTTTGTAATACAGTTCTCATAAATCATCTTTTATTTGAAAATCCAGAATAATTTTTATAGATGCAATAGTGAACTGAGGGATGCAATAGTCCCTGAAAAATCAGGGAGTAAGCTAGAATCAAATCATGTCACAAATATCTTTTTTTTTAATACTTTAATTTAATTTAATTTTTTTAAATTTATTTACTTTTCAAATACATTTGCCTCTGCCTTCCCCCCACCACTTTCCCTTGCCCCCTCCCTCCCCCGCTCCCTCAACCCTTCCCCTTTGGTTTTGTCCATGAGTCCTTGCTATATGTTCCTTGACTTTCCCCTTCCCTTCCCTTTCCCTGCCCCCCTCCCTCCTTCCCTCTTGTCTCTGTTGATTTCTTTTCCTTTCAGTGTTGCTGGTCTTATTTGCCTTGCATCTTTGCATTGTTGGTTAGGTTCCGCTTATAGGTGAGATCATACAAATCATGTCACAAATTTCTTTAATTAGACCTTTTACTTTTTTTACTTAGGATCTCAAAAATATCACTTCTTGCCATCTATCCTGCCAAAAGTTTCCACTTTTGCTTTATTTCTAGGGTTGATCATGGCAATTCTTCACTGTTCTTCCCATAACCCTGTTTGCTTGAGTTGACAGTGAAATACAACATGTTACTGATTATAACAAGCAAGAATCTCCTCTCCTGTGAGCAGCAATTAAGAGCAAGGGCTGTATGTCTCAGACTGTCTGGGTTAGATTCAGATTCCTCACCTCTATCAAGGATATAGTAATAGTTCTTACTGAAAAGTAGATTGCAAGGATTAAATGAGAAAATTGATTTAAAGTATGTAGTAGATTGCCACATTGTAAGCACTCAATAATTGTTAGTTATTGTTGTTAATAATGATAAGCTTTTAGAACCTTTCATTAACATGTTGAATGCCATCTGAGAAAACTGGAAAAACACATTTGTGTGACTTTGGACTAACTTGACTTAAACTCTCTGTTCTTTTGTTTCCTTATTCATAAAACAGTATGGCCTGACAATATTAACCCAAAGGTCTCTACTAACTATTAAAACTTACATGATTTTACTTAACTACGACTAAGGTGCACACTTATTTTCCTTCTCTGCTTTTCGTATGTATTGACAATTCTATTTTCAGTTGAGACTAAGTTTGCTTTTTGTATCCTTCTTTGAATAAGAGCCATATCTGATGATATTCTGTACTCTTTCTGGCACTAGTAATCATGAGATATTTTCCTAATTTCCTATGATGAACTATTATATTCACTATCAAACCCCACAGAAGACCCTAAGAAGGTACTACTTTCTTCTAAACTGATACCTTAAAAACTGGTCAGATATTAATCATGTAAACATGTAAAAATTTGTATTCCATCTAATTCAAGGGTTAAAAAAAATCTGTTACATCTCTGGAGAGGTATATGTAAAGTTTTACTGTAAAGTCTTGTAAAGTCCCTATCAATATAGTAAAACAATCCACAATTTAGGAGAGTAGCTTCTGAAGACAGAAAAATAATATTTATATCATGGTATAAAAAGTTATAGCTTCTAATAAGGCATTTAGTAAAAATGCAAACTGAGGGTTTTTACTAAGACATAACTAGTAACAAAAAAGTATGGGTCAAAAACAAAAGAAAAACAAAAAAAAGTAATGCCTAAGTAATGAGCAACACATTTTTTTGGGTCACAATTAGCTAGTATAATGAAATTCTCATAGAGGCTATTTTAAAATCCTAAATTAGATAACACTGGTCTTAGCTAATGTTATGTTTGGTATAACCTTAAAACTATTTTGTATTGGAAGTCAATGATTTTGGCAAGAAAAACTATGGCAAATGTAAAATACAGATTAGGTAAAATGACCTTTAGAGTCACTCTCATAATGAAATATTAAAAGATGAAATAACCTGATGTTTGAATTTACTTCAAAATAATACAAGAGATTTAAAAGAAACAAATTAGCTATGAGTTCTTAATTATTGAAGCCAAACCGAGGTACATGGGGGTTTATTATACTATTCTGCCAAATCTTCTATGTTTGAAACTTTACTAAAAATAAAGTTTAAAAGCCAGTGTACATAGAGACACCAAAACCAGAATCCATGCAGAGGAAGACAGATAGATTTAACCTCATAAAATGTTAACCTTACATGGCAAGAATGAAGCACATAAAATCAAAACAAAGCGAACATAAAAAAATGAAAAAATGGGAAATAATTATAACATGATTTATAGTGTTAATATCCTTAATATGATTCTTGATTCTTTGCAATCAAGAAAAACCACTAAAAAGCCCAAGAAAAATTTGGAATGGAGCATAAATGAGATGGTCAAAAAAAGAATATAAAGGACAAATAAAAATACAAAAAGATATTTCTCTCACTAGTATTCAAGTAAATGAAAGTTAAAATGCCATATACTTTTCTCATTTCAGATTTATTTAAAAACAAAAGCAGTTAATATCAAATGACAAAACTATAAAGTAGCACTCATAAACTGTTGGTAAAAATGGAACTTGGTAGAGATTTTTACCATAGTTACTTTTTGATCCACCAATTCCATTTTTAAGAATATACCATAACTAATATTTTCCAAAGCATTAAGTGGATGTTGTCAGATGTTATTTTGTGTATGTGTGTGCAAGTCTAAATTTAATTTTCAATGTAAATTTATATAATGGCACCTAAATTATTTTCTCCTTTAAAATTTTTTCTTTGCTTTTATAAAAATAGACTTTATTTTTTAGAGATATTTTGGACTCAGAAAAATTGAGCAGGAAGTACAAAAAATTTTCATATGTGCCCTTCCCATACAAATATACAACTTCTCAAACTATCAACATCCTACAGACAGGTGTTATTTTAAGAAAGGATTCTATAATCAAATAAGTTTGATTTCTAAGACTTTAGTATACTAAATATTTGTATTTTCTAAGACAGTGGATAATAATATTTCCTTATATTCTGGGTCATGGAACCCTTTCATCAGAGAGCATGCCTAGGAACTAAGGTTCTGCAATGCTTACTTCTGGAAATTGTACTAAAAAAATTCATGAGACATGAATTCAAAGATGTATGTACAAGTGCATTCACTGAAGGCATGTTAACCACAGGGAGAAGTTGAAAAGACCCCATATGCTCAGTAATTGGAAAGTGGTTACATAGTTTATGTTACAGCCTTAAACTGGGATATTATATAACCATTGGCAGTGGTAATGTGGATGATATTTACTGGCATGAAAATTGCCACAACTTGCTAAGTGAAAGAAGCAGTCTAGTCAAAGAACATTTATATCCTATTGTTTCTGGTCATAATCAAAATAATTAGATAGACATATGTTATGCACAGACATATATATCAATAAATTCAGAGAGACATTTAACAAAATATAAAGAATAGTTATTTCAAGGTGGTAGGGGTACTATACTTTAATGTCATACAGATATTTTTAAAATGAACATATTAATTTTATAATAGAAATATGTTTTTTTAAAGGCAATGTGATTATGTCAACTCCTTGGCGTTTGACTTTATAGATATCAGAAGATGCTTTCCATATTTAATAAAAGGTAAATTCACAGACAAGAAAACTATAATTATATAGTAATTCCAGGAGAGAAGAACCCACAATTCCTACCTTCTGGAGAGAAACTGATAAAAACATAACAAGTGCCGTGAAATCCAGCAGCGTAAAGGAGGCGGTAAGTCTCTAGATGCTGTAGGCCTTTATGAGTCCCTAGATGGGAGCACCTCTTCTCTCTGAAACAGAAGTAACGGGAAACACACACATTTATTCAAAAGGGCAGCTGAATGAAAACCATTCCCAAACACAGACTGGAGGCTATACAGGTGGCCTGTTTTCAAGTAGGGTCTCATAGGTAAATAGGTGGAAATATTATCTCTTATTGCATAACTTTGGAAAAATTATCATTTCTGTACCTCCGTCTCCTTATTTGAAAATGGGCATAATAACAGTACTCAACTAGAAGGGTTGCTACAAATATTCATAAAATATTCACAACACTGCCAGATACAATAGTATATGCTATATATGTGTTTGTAAAAATAAATACCTGGGCTGGGTTGGTTATTAATAGAAGCCCTTCATAGAGTATATTACTGTAAGTGACATTTTACTTCCATTCACATCTCAAGTAATCCTCACCTCAATGCTGTGAGGTAGGTATTATTACCACCTGGCCCTCAGCTTTGTAAATTAGAAACCTGATTTTATCAGCTCCTAAAACTGTTATGAACTCACAAGAAACTGATCAATTAAAAAGGAGAATATTTTTGTTGTTATAAATGATATTCAGTGGTTTGAATAAAATACTGTTTACTGATATTTGCTCTATTTGAGTACCAAACCATTAAAAAATGACCTATCAGTTTAAAATTAAAGCAATGAATATTGAAAATTGAAACTGGACCTTCTATGAAGTCAGAATAGTGTGTGTTTCTACTGTTTTACCAATTTTATTTTAAGGCTTATATGATATCTGAGAAGGCACACCATTACAAATGGGACATTTTTGCCAAGAATATTTAATCTAAATCTAATAATAAATTTTTTTTCAGAAAAATCTAAATTAAGGAATGTCTTACAAAAAATAGGCCCAGATTTTTTTTTTTTTTTTTTTAAAGAGATGGGGAGAGAAACATCAATGTGAGAAACATCGATTGGTTGCCTCTCACATGCAGATTGAACTTGAAACCTGGGCAGGTGCCCTGACTGGGAGACCAATGGGTGACCTTTCGCTTTGCGGGACAATGCCCAACCAACTGAGCCACAATGGTCAGGGCTGGCCTAGACTTTTTAAAAAACATGCCAATGTCATGACAGAAAAAGGCTGGGAAATATTTTTTGTTTAGATTAAAGGAAAGTAAATGGATAGGACTACTGTATACAATATAGGATCCTTAACTGGTTTTTGGTTCAGGGGAAAAAAGATAGCTATATTTAATGGACAATTAGAAAATTTAATATACAGACTTTTAAAATCTCTATTGATTAATACATTTAAAATTAACTTAGATGGTTCACTCTTATAGATGAAATTATTCATGTATTTGTGATCATCATAATTTATTAAATACCTATTCAGTGTGGTAAGCCTGCAGATAATAAAAATTCTTACAAATAACAGACTTTAAAATACAGACTTGGCTTGTCCAAAGGGGTTAAGTGAAGGGTAATGAGGACCCCTCTGTCTCAGTCTGGCAAGTCAGCAAAACAGCTAATCTGTCATCTGTTATATGTGGGATTCAGGCCATCTTCCTATCAAAGTATTTTCCCTTACACTACAAGGAAAAAATTCAGAATGTTAGAATTGATTGCTACTTCATGCAGCCTTCAGTAAAGTTCCACAAGAGTGGCACATCAGGAAGCAGAGAAAGGGAAAAGGAGTTTTGCCAAAAGAGCTACTTTGTGGCTAAGAATCAGATGATCTGGAGCCTGGCAGGATTGAGGAACCCAAATTATAGATGTTTTATAATGATCTCTTATTTATTTCTTGAATAAATTATTTCCATAATACAGAATTGAAAGATATAAAAAGGCAATGAAAAATTTCTTTTTCAGTCTTGTTCCCAGGCACCTGTTTTCCCTCCCCAAAGGCAACCACTGACACCAGATTTTTGTATCTTTTCAGAAATGTGTAATGCACTGCCATATCTACACATGCATTCACAGAAATGGAGCAAGTTATAGACACTGTCCTATACCTTGCTTTCTTCACATGTTTTGTCAATTGATCATTTCAGTACATATAGAGCTGCCTTATATGTCATTATTATAAAGCTTATGGCATAAAAACTATAGAGCAGACAAGAATGAACAAGGATTTTAACAGATGTTTTCCCATGAAGAGGAAATAAGATACTGGCCACCAGTCAGGGAAAAGCATCTAGGTGTCTTGAGTAACAAGTGCAGAAGACAATGACTGAGGAAGGTACCTGGGAGGGTTATCTGAAGGTTTAAAGAAGCCAGAATATTATGTGTATTGTGGCAGAGTGCCTGAAAAGTTACTGAAGCCTCTGCTATGAGAGGGTTGCAAAAATGGCTAAGACTGATCTGGCAGACATAAAGGAGACTGAGGTTTAAAGAAATGCAGCGAGTGTGTAGTTCTCACAACTGCAGACGATGGCAAAGATTGTGGCAGTATGTCCAGTGTATGAAGTCCAGAGGCACAGTAAGAGGAACCGCATCTCAGTAGGCGCAGGCACATGGTGCCAATATGCCAAGGGACAAACAGTAACTTAGCAGTGACCAGCGAGCAGAGAGAAGTGTGGAATTTCATACTTACCCACTGGTGCCAGAACGATATGAGTCTCCCCAGGAACTTGAAGAATAAAAGGGAAGGAGAAAATAAGGGATAGGGAGGGTCTTAGTTTAAAGCCTAAAGTAACTCAATTTTATTTCAGAAATGACCAAGCAACTACCAATTGGTAAGATTAAGTTTTCCTTTATCTGTGGAAATGCTGGTGGTGGTCACAGGGCGCTGGGGGTGGGAGGGAGTGACCAGGAAAAGGGGTTTGTGAGATAAGTCAGTTTCAGATGCAGGCAAACAATTTTATACACGAGATAAACAACTATAAAATTCAAATTTACATTGTCAGCTCACAGGGCTGTCAGAAAGACACAATGAAATGATTGTGTGAAAATGTACAAACAATAAATGGTGTGATTTTCTGATTACTATTTCTGACAGTAACCTTTCTTTGACTTTTCACCATGTTCTTGGGATCTAACAGTCTTATAATTCCAGATTGTATTACATAATACAGAGTATTAGCTCTGAAGTAAGTGAATCTTGGGTTCATGTTCTACCTCTGTTACCCACTAGCTGTATGAGTTTAGGGAAGTAACTTCTCTGAGTCTCTCTATGGTTTTTATTTATAATACATAGTATGATAATCAGAAATCATTTCAGGCCCTGGCTGGGTAGCCCAGTTGTTTAGAGTGTCATCCTCATATGCCAAGGTTGCAGGTTTGATCCTTAGTCAGGGCACATACAAGAATCAACCAAAGAATGCATAAATAAGTGGAATAACAAATTGATGTTCTTTACCCCCCCCCACCTTTTTCTCTCTCTCAAATCAATAAATAGTGGGCTTCCAGCCAAGATGGTGGTGTAGGCAAGCATGGCTCACCTCTTTGCCCAACCACATCAAAATTACTACTAAAGTATAACAACCATCACTCAGAACCATAAGGAATCAGGTTGAATGGAAGTCTGACAACTACAGAATTAAAGAGAGCACATCCATCCAGACCAGTAGGAGGGGGACTGATGCAGAAAGACTGGGTCTTTCACTCATGTGTGGTGGATAAAAATTCAAGAGGGATATCTCAGGAGTGAGCAGGCCCAGTCCCACACCAGGCCCCTCAGCACAGTATTCCATGCCAGGATAGAAGTCCCTGCAACTTCTGGCTGCAAAAATCAGTGGGGGTGGAAGAAAATGCTGGAACCCCAAGCAGTTCCTCTTAGAGAACGCACACATGGACTCACCTACTCAGACTATTTTCCTCTGAGCTCCTGTGCCAGGTTGGCAACTTGAAAGGAACCGGTGTCATAATGGAAGAGGCTGAAGTGTCTGGCATTGGGGTGAGGAGAAGCCACTGTCCCTTTTCTAAGCCCCCCTTGAAGAGCCACGGGGCCGGCAGGCTGGTGCCATACTTGAGTCTCCATCAACCTGGCTACCACTGCTTGACCGGCCTTGGAGATCCCCAGAGACTCTGCCCCACCCAATTACTGGCCCATCCTGTTCCATATGAATGACTAGTCCTGGCTCATGCTTCACAACTTCTTAAATGCTATCAGACAAGCAACAGCTGGCCTCAGTGAGCTCCAGGCGGGGCACTAGCAAATGCCAGATTAGTTTCACAGTGTGGCTTCACCTGGGAATCTCCAAGTCCAGCACAAATCACAGCCATCTCAGATTGCTTTACAGCTCAGGAATGGAGGCCCCAGGCAAAACACAGGTGGGGGCTGATCTTGACCCCCCCCCACCACCCAGGAAGCCCCAGGGCCAGCGCACCCAGTGGACAGCTACAGACTACTTTGGAGCACCGCCACCCTGCCCCTGCACAGCTGACCCTCCATGGAGGATGGAGGGTGGAGGTTGGTGGTAAGCAGTCACAGCCAATCCTCACAGCTGACTGGCCTGGGTAAATCCCTCCCACTGATCTGCCAACAGCAACCAAGGCTCAACTGCAAGAGGAAGGTGCACTGAGCCCGCAGAGAGGGAACCTCTCGAAAACCCATCTTGGGTGATAGGGGAGGCTGCGCCACTGGACCCTACAGGACACCCACTACATTAGGCCACACCACCAAGACACAGATTCAAAGCGGTTCTACCTGACACATAGAAACAAACACAGGGAGGCTGCCAACGCGAGTTGACAAAGAAACGTGGCCCAAATGAAAGAACAGATCAAAACTCCAGAAAAAGAGCTAAACAAAATGGAGATAAGCCATCTATCAGATGGAGAGTTCAAAACACTAATTATAAGCATGCTCGAGGAACTTACTGAGGACCTCAGCAACATAAAAAAGATGCAGTCAGAAACGGAGTCACTAATTGAAATAAAGAACAATGTACAGGGAAAGAACAGCAGAGTGGATGAAGCCAAGAATGAAATCAATGATTTGGAACATGAGGAAGCAAAAAACCACCAATCAGAACAAGAAGAAAAAAGAATCCAAAAATGTGAGGGTAAAGTAAGCAGCCTCTGGGACAACTTAAAGAGATC